AAGGAAACGGACAGAAAAGGAGTTGTGGCTCCACAAACTCCTTATTGTGGCATATCCCATGGGATGTGCAGCCAAGGGGGCAAGCAGAGTAGTTGCTGGCTGGAAACCATCACATCTCTCCTTCCATCTCTGATTTCCAGCATCCGTTTCTGAAGCACCACTGTGCAAAAGAAGCTCGGGTGCACCGAATGCAGCCAAACAGAAATCTTTTAGTGAAGACTTGAACAATCTCCACAAACATCTTGCACATTTTCAAGGACACTGAGGAAACATGCATTTTTTCCCCCTTTTGTGGGCTTCAAAAATGCCCGAAGGGATAGAGTCATTTAGAACTACTTAGGAAACACAAAGCATATAAAGCTTATAATTATTTCTCTGCCAAGGGCTTGTCAGTTTGAAAATCCTCGCTCTCGAACCACTAATCCTTGCAGGAAAAAATACTGAAAGAAATCACGCAGCTCCAGTGGGATTGACTTTTGCTGCGCTTTTCTGACATGAAGGAGAACGAAAGGAGCACACCTAGATCAGCGTTTCGCTTCACTAGCATCTTCTGCCCACAACGAGCCGGCCCGCTGCGCCGAGCCGGAGAGCTGCTCGCCCGCGGCCGCCGAGCGCCGCCTCCGCACGGAGGCCCACGGCCAGGGAGGAGAGGACCGTGGCTGGTGTTAGGAGGCAGGAGTGCCTGAAAAAAGCAAAAATAATTGATCGGGCGGAGCTGTAACTATTTTTAAATGTCGGAGACCAGGGAGAGGGGGAAGAGGTTGTTATCCAGTTGGAAATAGCATAGAATGACTGTGTTTGCAGAGACCAGGGATGGGCCATCCGAGCAGAGTGGTGTGAATTTGGGCTCTCTAGCTCAGAGACCCATCACAGAGCTTGCTGCAGGATGGTTGGGTGCCTCAGCCTGGGTACAGCTGGGTTGTAACAGCGGGTCCTTTGATGTCTCTCTAGTGGGTGAACCCAGTGGTGTCCTGCAGGCATCCCAGCATCCAGACTTTTATTTTTCCTTCCTTGCTTTAAGCTGCGTTAAAGAGTTTGAAAAGCCCTCCAGTGCCTTGAATACAGTGTAGACATGAGACCGGAGGAGGAGGTGAATGGCTGGAAGCGGGCAGGAGCCCAGACCATGCTCGGTCATACGTCCCTCCACTATGAGCTATAAAATCAAAAACCGAGTCCAGTGGAGATTTGAAACACAGCCCATCTGGGCCCTGCTGCTCTCCCAGCCCAGCTCAGCTCAGGCAGGAGACACACGCAGCGGGTGACCCAGATCCTACCGGGTGCCTGTGAGTCTGTCTCCAGCGCTACCTGCGTGTGCAACTGTAGACTAGAAGCCATCCGCCACACACATCTTGCACAACAGAGGCCAGAAAATTCATCCAGGAATCTCAGCAATGGGGAGAATATCATCAAGGACACAAGCCTCACAGGGACCCTACTTTGGTTATGCAAAGCCCTTCACTCACCTCAGACCTCCTCTCCCATCACTTTCTCCAAATCTGTCCAGTAACAGAAGCTCCCATCAGATGTGAGTTTTTATATCCTCAAGGTAATGTGTGCTGGAAGTCTCCCCTGCCTTCTGGTTAACCCTCCTTCCTAGGGCCAGAGCTGAAACAAGCTCAGACTCGAGAGCCTAACCTACAAGTCTTTAAGCTTCATTAAACTTTTAAGCCCGTCCGTTGAGGTTCCTCTTTCGTAATTATGAGCACAGAATGAAGGAGCAATGTTCACCTGGGCAGGCATCGAGAAGACTCACATGCTTAATGGCTTTCCTATCCGAGCTCCCCTCTCCGCACTGCTGTTTGAAAGGGTGTACTCAACATCAGCCTCTGCCCGTCAGCAGAAACGCTCAGATATACATAATTAAGTATTTCAGTTCTCTGCTGAGATATACAGATATGCATAATTAAGTATTTCAGTTCTCTGCTGCCAACATGGCTGGTTAATGCAAGTGAGGCTGAAGCTGGGCACTGAGTTTGGGCCCATACCACCTAACCAGGGACTGCAATGCCTAAGCAGAGTGTAAGGTTGGCTTCGCAGACTTGGTTCAGGTGAGCAAAGCATCCTCCACTCCCTCTGCAGCCAAAAACTAGAGATGAGCTCCTCTATGCAGCAGTTCAGATCTTCAGGTCTTGAAATCTCCCCTCCAGTTCTAGCAGAAGCCCACAGTGGCCTGCAAACTGAAAAGCCCATTTCCCCTACGTGAACACCTCTTACAGGGCTGGTGTGCCAGCCAAACATCCAAATTAGAAGACCTATCTTCCATTATCAGCATCTGAGAATTTATGTATCCAAAAGACATTGAGATTGTTGCTGAGCAGACAAGGGTGAAAGTGGCACAGTCTCCACAATGTTTTCCAGTTTGAACACGTTGCTGCAGAGACTATGAACATTTTGCACAGTTAAGATACTATTTTCCACAAAAAACCCTGTTAACAAGGTTAAGAAATGTTGAGTAGAAATGACAATAGAAACACCCTTGAAATTTAGGGGTGGGGAGGAGGAGGAAAAAAAAAAAGACACTACTGAGTCGTTCAAATAAAAAACAGCACATCTGAGAACTGTCTTCAGCTCCCTTAACTTATTTCTTTCCGCTTTGCAAAGTTTTCATGACAAATGTTTCACCAGAAAAGAGAAAATCCCAACCTCCTTCTTCCTGCTCAGCTGCCTGGAGGTGATGTTACATAGTAAAAAAGAAAAAAAAACAACCTATAACATAGCCTGTCTGAGTTCAGGCAGGGAGGAAGGAGCCCCTGACACATTCACCCACACGGCTCTGCAAGGCATGAGCAGAGAGGGCCCGCACCAAGGAACCAAATGGCATCAGGAGAGTCCCGAAGATGGCTTTTCTCCGTGCAATGCCAACTGCCTCTCAACGTGCTTTTAAGACCCCACTTTCCTCCCTTCGGACTCGCCAGGGACTCGCTACCTTGCCCCGAGCAATCTCCGGGGCCCGTCGTGGCGTCCCGCGGCGTGGCGGAGATAGTGGTTATCATTCCAGAGGAATAGCCGCACGGCGGGAGGATTTTGCACGGTGGCGGCGGGGGCGGAGGACAATGGCGAGGGGAGTGATGGTTGCGTTCAAAGGGATTTGTTCCGCTGTCAAGGACAGAAAGATCTCCCCGAGAGCAGCATTAGGAAATGAAGCCCACAAGGGAAGGAGAGGGGTAGGGAGCAGCCAGAGACAATGTCCAGTCAACAGCGACAGGGAGGCAGCTGTGAAGGATCAATACCCGGCCCTGATGGGCTTGGGAAGCATAATTATGGGGCAAAGAAGCCTCCTCCAGCAGGCTCTGCCCTTCTAGGTATTTGCCCTGAGGACAAGTGAGATGCCTCCACTCTGGGCAAAGCTTTCATCTGCAGCCTGGTGACCCTGGGACGGGGTTTAGAGGGCAAATCTTCCAGCTACTGAAAGGCCGTGGTGACAGGAGTCCTCGCACGGTGCTCTGGTGGGAGCCGGGCTTGCACCGATGGGCTCGGCAGCAGGGCTTAACCCAACACTGCTCCTACCAAGGAGAGCGGAGGGTACCAGGGTGGAGGAAAGTTGCTCTCCAGCAGGTTTATGCCTTGTGGGTTGATGAATTTTGGTGTAAAGGGAGGCATGAAGCTGTACACCAACCATTCCCCCGGTCTCTCTCTCTCCTTAGCCTGGTTGGCTCTTTCCACAATACTAGGGAGAACTTGTTGCCTTCGCAACACAGCTTCACCAACACTTATGGGCAGAAGTAATCCAAGGTGGAAAACACAATGGTAGACAAGGCATAAAAAAATCGGGGAAATAGAGAGAGAGAGGGAGAGACAGAGAGAGGCTGAGAATTAATGCCCTGTCTCCAAATGCCCCATGCAACATGCTCAAAGCCCTTATGATGACAAATAAAGTCTTTCTAGATATACTTGCATTTCCAGCTCCATTTCACAGGGAAAACACTTTCCTTCTGGAAAAAAAAAAAATCGCACCCTTGTGGGAGAAAATACCCATTTTTGGCCAGCTGACCTGCAGAGCATTAAGCATCTGACAGAGTCAAGAAACTGGTCCTTCATTAATAAATCCCAGCAAAACAGATGAGCAAGACTACCAGTGTCCCCCAAATAAATAGAAAGCAGGGCCACCACACCAATGCCGTGCTGAGATTTCGCTTGCAATAGGGTCATAGCACTGCTTTCAACTCATCTGACCTCAAACCCTCAGCAAACACTTCAAGATCTGGCTGTCCTTAAGTATAGGGACAGAAAGCCCACGACTGTAGAATGTTCCTCCTGAGCAACTAAGGTGCAATGGTCTTAAACAAAGAAAAATAAACAAACCCACAATACAAACAAGCAAACCAAAAAATAGACCTGGAATGAAATACCTGCTGCTTTCACAGACACACAATCCAAGCACTTAGAGTCAGCCCGAATTGCCCACTAAAAACACAAGGGACAACCTGGTCTCTCACATTGCCTCCGAGGACAAATGCTATCAGAAAAACATGTCTGTGAACAGTTGGCTTGGTTCTACCCCGGCAGGATTTTGCAGTTGGCTTCCAGGGTAAAAGTATTAATGCCACATAAACAAAAAACAAGCGTTGCTGCACTCTACAATATAGCTTAACTGTGGCTTCAAATGCTGCGCATAAATTTGTGTAATATTTGCTATTTTTTGGAACTCGCTTAAGTTACTTTTTACACCACCTCGTTCTGCACACACATATTCTAATTTCCCATGGAGAAAAAATATTTTTCAAAAAATAAATAAAAACATGTCTCTCCTATTGCTTGACCAAAATCCCCAGCTCAGGCGAGGCAGTGCCCGAGCAATGGAGACAACCTCACCCCAAGGGCATTGAGTCCTTCTCCCCCTCCAAGGAAGAGGACACTTTAGGTCCTCGCGGACGCCCTGGGAACCCAATTCTGGATTCTTGAAAAGCAGAATTTGAAAAATTCATCTCTCTGCCTTGCAGCTGCAAGGAGGTGAGGAACCGAACACCCAAAAGCTGGAGGGCCCAGGCAGGAGAGGACACAGCTGTCGTTCCAGCTGGTGGAAACCAAATTTGCCTCGAAACAGAACAACCCCCCCTTTCTTTCCCAGGCCACTCTCTCCACATCGATGCCTTCTCTGGCATTTTGAAATGCAAAAGGTTTCGACCAGCTCCAACCACTCCGCTTAGACCTACTGCCAGAGCAGGGAGCTGAGGGGCGGAAGGGAAGGGAAAGGGAGAAACTGGATGTCTGAAATAAAGCAGCAGCCATGGTGGAAGCTGATGAGGTGGCCTAAGATGGGGCTCTGCAGTGGCGCCAGAGCCGCCTCCAGTGAGCGACGAAAGACCAGCTCCAAAGCTATCGCTGTCCCCACCACGCAGGGACAGATGACGAGTATATTTGGCTTGTTTGCACACAACGCTGCCTCGCTCCCAAGCTGCCAAGTGCCCCTCCGTTCCAGGCCTTTATATGAAACCTTAATTGCAAGACACAAATCTAATTAAGGGCAGGGGGAAGGGGCAAGTCGCCAGGTCTATTCTTTGCTCCCTTCCGAAAATAGCAGCTTCGCAGGCGGTGGTGCCGGAGGACGGGGGGCCGACGCACGTGGTGGGGATGTGCCTTCTGGAGCACGTCACACAGGGGTCTCCGTGATGCCTCTCCGGCCTCTTAGCAAGGCAGTTTCATAAAACCAACCCGTTTCCACCCAAAAGCAGGCATAGAAGGGAGGGAAGGGAACAGAGACATGACTTGCGGCAGGAGAAAGGGAGAGGGAGAGGGGTAGGTGAGCAATAGGGATGGGAGATGTAAGAAGAACAAGCCGCGGGATTGCAAGATGGAAGGACCCGGGCAGTGCCTCCACTGAGCCCTGCCAAGCTCTCTGCTAGTGCCCAGGCCAGCGTGGCTGCCCTCAGTCCCCAGGCAGCTGGAGAAAGCAATATGGTCTCTGTAGGATCCCGTGTAAGCGTGGAAAAGGAGTCCAGAGAACATGGCACACCCAAAGGCTGCACTCTGGAGGAGCTGCTCTCGCTCCACCAATACCACGAGAAGCGATCGTCTCCTTCCATCACGTACTGCTCCAAGAGAGGACAAAGAGCCATTTACTCACAACGGAACTCCCCAAACTCCCATCAATCTCCCAGGTCACCCTCAGCATTTAACGTTGGCATCATCTGATCCATCCAAACCATTCTGGATCATCCCTCTCCTAACAAGCCAAGGCTGGGGCAGCAGCTTCCCAGTTTGCAGCTCATTGTGCACTGACCTCTATTAGTCACGTCAAGGAGGATGAGCCGGCATGGCCCTGCAACCCCGTCCCCTCTCAGCTACAGCAGCCGCCACTGGAAAGCGTCCCTTGGATCAAAGAAGGCTCTGCCGTCTCGCACTGGACACAACAGCTCTTCCGTCCTCATGGCAGACCCAACTTCACCCTCCCAAATCAAGGGCCATCAAAACCCCAACGCTTGCAGGTTTCTTTGTGCACATTCAGAGCCTAAAGGGCTCCATGCGCGCTGCTTTTCGCTGTCAACCAACCCCTCCCCGTGCTTTAATTTGGGCAAGGGGAGTTTGAAGGGTCCGTGCAATCACCTGATTGCAGGAGCAGGGGATTTAAGAGCAAATGCCAAGTGCCCGCAAGCTCTGGCAAGTGCACAGACCTGTCAAGTCTCGCTAACACGGTGCAAGCAGCGCGCAGGAGGCCGGCAGCCCCGGGGAG